GACACGCCAGCTGGAGCAATGGACTTGGGAGTGGAAAGTCGAGCTGCTCGGCTCAATCTTCAGCTGACTCTAATCCCGACTTCAAATGCATGAGATCGTAAGTGACAACCATCCAGCTGCACCTTACCAACCTGCAAAACCATGAGATAATAAACTCCAGGTTTTGCTGTGGTTAGTTGTACAACAATACTAACTGCAAAAGGCAGCCATTAAAGATTGCTCTAGATTCAAGTATTTGTTCCCCTGCGTACATTGCCTTTTTTTTTTTTTTTTTTACAGGCAGAGTGGACAGTGACAGAGAGAGACAGAGAGAAAGGTCTTCCTTTGCCGTTGGTTCACCCTCCAATGGCTGCCGTGGCCGGCACACCGCGCTGATCCGATGGCAGGAGCCAGGTGCTTCTCCTGGTCTCCCATGGGGTGCAGGGCCCAAGCACTTGGGCCATCCTCCACTGCACTCCCGGGCCACAGCAGAGAACTGGCCTGGAAGAGGGGCAACCGGGACAGAATTCGGTGCCCCAACCGGGACTAGAACCCGGTGTGCCGGCACTGCTAGGTGGAGGATTAGCCTAGTGAGCCGCGGCGCCGGCCCATACATTGTATTCTCAGCTGAAGTTTCCGGGAGGCTGTCCCCTGCCCTCCTTCAAACACTCTCCCACATGGCATGGGTCTCTGCCACTAAACCTGTCTAGCACCCTTCACTCTCCTGCAACCCTAAAAGCACCGGCTGGAAGTCCGGAAAGCTAACTCTTCAACCTGAGCAGGCCGCTGTAATTTCAGCCAAGTCACTAAATTCCCTGAAGTTCAGGTTCTTCTAGGAAAATTACGGTAGAGATTTAATGTTTAAATTTTGTTTGGCGTGTGGCTGCCAACACTTTCCTTCTCAGAATAGAGATATGCAAGGGGAGCTCTAACTGAAAAAGAAGACACTGTGCTGGAGAAGTGTTAAGAAGGAGACTCTGGGCCGGCGCCACGGCTCAATAGGCTAATCCTCCACCTAGCAGGCCGGCACACAAGATTCTAGTCCCCATCGGGGCGCTGGATTCTGTCCTGGTTGCCCCTCTTCCAGGCCAGCTCTCTGCTGTGGCCAGGGAGTGCAGTGGAGGATGGCCCAAGTGCTTGGGCCCTGCACCCCATGGGAGACCAGGAGAAGCACCTGGCTCCTGCCATCGGATCAGCGCGGTGTGCCGGCCACAGCGTGCTGGCCGTGGCGGCCATTGGAGGGTGAACCAACGGCAAAGGAAGACCTTTCTCTCTGTCTCTCTCTGTCACTGTCCACTCTGCCTGTCAAAAAAAAAAAGAAGAAGAAGAAGAAGAAGGAGGAGGAGGAGGAGGAGGCCCTGGAATCAAGGACCCAAGTTCCAGGGCCAGGTGTTGCCCTCATTTGTCCCAGGAGCCTGGAGCTCCCCCACCCATGCTGTGAAATCCCCGCACGGGATGATCTCAGTGGCCTTCCCACGCCCCCGGTTGGGCTCTGTACCACTTATCCTATGAAAACAGACATGTATTTTTAAACGCTGGGACATATTTTCAGCTCATTTATTTGTAGCCTTTATAAAACATCATTTATTTTTACTTTTTAAGGAGTATTGATCTTTCATTGCTTCCGTTTCCCACTGAGCCAGGCTCCTACCAGTGTTTCTTAGCCACCCTCTGGTCTCTGGACCACTATGCCCTGCCCATCCCTCTCAGCACAGCTGATAAGCTTAGTTCTTTCTTTATCTCTAGGGGGAGAAATGGAATGTTTCAAAGCTCACAACTTATCACTAGGTTTGGGAAATGCTGGTTTAAAACCACTGTATTGATTTGTCTTCATCATATTTTCAAAGACTATCATAGGAGATCCATAGCCTACTACAGATTCCCATCCCAATATTGGATGGTTACAATCATTAGAAAACTTCCTTTTCTATTTGACCTAAGCATTCAAAAAAAAGGTGCCCCTTCAAGTGATGCTTCTCAACTTTCATTGTCACATACAACTTTCAAAAACATCTAAGAATTAAGTTTTCCAGTGTTAGTGCCTGAATGATCTCAGCTCTTTTCCATTTTTTCCTTTGGATACTGACCTTAATTGAAAACAGGAATGGTCTGAGAAGTTTTCCCAGCATTCCTTGATTATGAAACATCATGCATAGTTAAATTATTATAGAGCTTCCTAGTTTCACCTTGAGATGATCAACATCTTCTAAAACATGTCATCAGACAATATGCATAAAATTCCAAGCATGGAGAAAGACTCTACCTGCACTTATATTGGCTAATAAATATGCATCCTGTGACGTCTATAAATTAGGTAACTGGGATCACACATGCAATCCACGTTCCATTCTCATCTCCCAGTTTATTTGACCTCTGCCCTGAGACTATGGACAGGTGTATCTCTCATCTAATCAGTGTTAAAAGCAGGTCAACGTCTGACCAATAGTCTAAGCTGCTTGAAGAGAAACTCCTGCCTCCTTGAAGGCGCTGGGGTGGGCATTTTCTGGCACAGCTGCTTCAATCACTGCAAAAACAGTCCTCAGAACTCTTCCTCACTGATGTAAGAAACAAGACTTCAGCTTCCCAGACGCTTGGAGGAAGAATCACCAAAACCTCTGGATATGTATTTTAGGAAGAATCTTACGTCTTTATTTTGTCACACTGCAGTGAAACTTCCCCTACTGCTTAGCTGCTGCTGCCTTTTAAATATGGTATTCCATTGTAGCCCCAAGAAGAACCAAATTGGGCAGCTGTTTGGCAAGGTCTCTTACACGTCAGCAAACGTGCTCCTTCCTAATCCCCTCTCTGCTGTATCTACTCAATCTGCTACTTGCCTCTCCAGCCCCTCCTTTCCCTGCACGCCCCCCTGTTCTCTCTTGGTGAAGACCACAGCACTGGAAGTCCTCATCTCATACCCTCGATGAGTTTCAGGGGCTCCCTGAGCCATAAGCCCACGCTTGTCTTTATTCATCTCTCAGAATGGATTAACCACCATTTTTCACAGAATGGCATGTGGCCCACCAAATCCACTCCCAGGTACATAAACATAAGAATTGAAAACAGGGACCTGGACAGATACTTGTACAGCAGTGTAGATGGCCACCTCACTCACAACAGAAGATGGAAATAACCCCTTAGCAGGTGAAGGGATTAAAACACATGGTCTATAGTCTATAATGGACTATTAATTCAGCCAAGAGAAGGAACAAAATCTGCTATGACATGAGTGGACCTTTAAGATAGTATGGGAAACACAGAAGGAAAAATAATGTATGATTCCACTTAAGTTGACGTGTATGCAACAAACCCGTAGTGACAGCTCGTGGAAGACAGTGCAGCTGGGACGAGAAGGAAGAGCTATAGTTGAATGGACATTTATGTTGGGGATGATAAAAAAAAATTGGGGGCATGGATAGTGGTGGTGGCTATACCACGTAGTCAATGTATTTGGTGAAACTAAACTTGTATGTTTGCCAGTGGTTAAAATGGTAAGTGTTACTATGTATATTTCACAACAATAAAATTACTTAGAAGGAGGAAGTCAGTGAGGTGTGAGCCCAGTAGCAGTTTTCCAGGGCACTTGAAATTTGAGGGATCACCAGCCAGAGTCTTGGAGTGTCAAAACCTCCTCCCAATTCCAAGCCCACCCTCATCCTGAGGGCCCACAGGAAGAGACAGAGACTATGGGGTCCCTCCCAGCTTCCAGGTCACCCAGAGAAGCAGTCCTCCACCCCCACCCCTCACCGGATACCTGCAGCGGGGGCGGGGGGGGGGGATGGTCAATGATCAGAAAGAAAAAAAGAGAACTGATTAAGCGCACTGTTAAGGAACTTAGGAGCACTCTTTGGCTTTACTTACTGAATTACAAGAATCAATTCTGCAGGAAGCAGGCTACAACCGGATGCTTTGGCTCTCTCAGTCCAAAAACAGAAGCCAATAAATCCAGAGGGATTAAGAAAACACTGGAAAGGACTCTTATCTCCATAGTGCTGGTGGTTATTTAGAAGGACGGGTGCTTTGCACACACGCACGCACACAAAAACACACATCCATAGACATATACACGTACGATGGTTGCATAGGCGTTGTCATCAAAATAGGTTCTATTTTTGTTTTAAGCTGAGCAGCTCAGAGAGCGCTCTGATCTAATGATTCACTCCCCAGACAGCCACAACAGCTTAAGTCTGGGTGGTGCCCGCTGGGAGCCGAAACTCAACCCAGGTCTCCCACGTGGGCGGCAGGGACCCAAGAGCCATAGCCATCACGGCCGCCTCCCGCGGTTCGCATCAGCAGGAAACTGTTACTGGGAGCAGGGCAGGGACTCAACCCCAGGCAGGCTCTGGGACAGGGCACGTGGGCATCCTCACCGCCAGGCCAGTCGGCAGCCCCTGTGCGCCTCGCTCTGGTTCTCGGATGCTCTAGGGCTACAGAACCCACAAATGCCACGCGCACAAATGCCATCTGCTATCCTTGCCACGACGCCTGGAACATGCTCTCTGCCAAAACGCCAAAGCTCAGCCCAGGGGAGAAAGCCGAGGCCCGGGGAAACAGGGGTCCGGGAGCGGCGCGCCCCTCTCCACCCCGACGCCCCAGCAATCACCCAAAAGAGAGTGCGGCCGCGGCCGCCTCTGCTTCCCTTCGGTTATTTTCGCATGAAAAATTGAGCAGCCCCATTGTATGAGCGCGGAGAGGCGGCCCTCGCGCCGGCCACGTCCCGACTGAATAATTCAGGCCCGGGCGCAGGCCAGGCGGCGCGGTGCTGGGGCCCCCCACTCGGCAGGCTCCGTCTCCCGGGGCTCGAAAAACCCCCCGGTTCCGGGCGCGGCGGGAAGGCCGCCCCCGCCCGCCACCCGGCCCGGCAGGCTGGGCCTGGGGTGGGCAGAGGCGTCACCTGCCCGGCCAATCGGCTGCGTCGGCCCGCAGGACTCGCTCAACAGGTTTCCTCCTGGTGAGCCGGCCCGCAGGGTTGGGGGAAGAGGCTGTCACTTCGTTCCGACCCACCCCCGCCCCTCCTCCCTCCCTTCCCCGGCTCTGCCCCGCCGCTCCGGGCCAATCGCGCCCGCCCCCCGACGCGCCCTGGCCCGCGGCGGCCCCGGGAGCTCGGCCCGGCCCGGATGCTGGGAGCCGGGGAGCCGGCGCGCGGGGCTGACGGCGCCCTCCGGAGCCGGGCCTGATGACCGAACTCCAGCCCGAGGTGGACGACGCCAAGACTGCGAGAGTGCCCGGGAAGCGGGAGGGCCGAGTCGGCTCCGCCGCGTAAGTACGCGCGCCGGCGGGCGGAAGCGCGCGCCGCTGCCCGGCCTCCAGCTGGCCGAGCCGCTCTGGGCAACTTTTCCGTGGCCGCTCCAGCGCCCTGAGCTTGTTCCGTGGCTCCTGCCAGATCCTCTCTCTCTCTCTCTCTCTCTGCCCCTGGGGGATGTGAATTACTTGATGGGAAGGCGCGAGCCGGGCCGTGGGGTTCCCGACGCTTCTGCCCTGAGAAGTTCAAGGCTCGGAGCGGGGGAGGGATGAGCGGCCCGCCGTGGCGCGCGGGAATCCCGCCCCGCGCGGCCCCCGAGTGTCCCTTACTCTGGAAGTCGCTCTTGCTCTCTAACTCTGAAAAAGGCAGGCGTCGCCCAGGGTTTCCCTCTTTGCTCTGCCGGGAAGCTTCTCTGAGACCTTGCGTGGCAGGACGAGACCGAGCCAGATGCGCCCCGGGTGACGGCACACAAGGTCCGGTTTTGCGGAGCTGATGCCTCCTGGGAGCAGGCAAGGCTTCGTCTCCACCTCTTGCAGCGGCGAGTCCTTTCTTGTAGACACCACAGCCTTGTTCCAGGCTAGGTCTGGGTGCCTGAAAGCAGGCTCAGCTGTGCGTCGCTTGAGATTCCGCTTACTTGGGGAGAACAGCTGTGTTCGCTGCTTTGATGGGCGGCTGCAGGGCTGTTGACTGCGTGGCTCTGCAGGGTCTCCCTTGGTCTCCCAGCTTTCCCAGCCTAAGCTGAGCCTCTGTGGACTCCGTGCAGCGCTGCTGTGGGGGAATCTCCCCAAGTCGTGTCTGCTTTGTCAGCCTGAAATAAATTCCTAACTTTGTAGTAATTCATATTCAAGAACAAAAGATGAGCTCAGAGGGGTGGGTGTTTGGCTCAGCAGTTAAGTTGCTGCTTGAGATACCCTCATCCCACACTGGGGGGCCTGGTTCCGCTCCCAGCTTCCCGCCTGGCTTCCTGCACCTCCGGGAGACAGTAGGTGGCGGCTCAGGGGCCTGGGTGCCTGCTGTCCACGTGGGAGACCTCGATGGTGTTCTTGGCTCCCGGCTGTTGCAAGCATTTGGGGAGGGAACCAGTGGACAGATTTCCAACTGTCTGCCCTTCAAATAAAAAATGGAAATAAAAATTTTAAAAGATGAAGGATCAAAATCCATTTCCTTTGCACTAACTATGTGCTTTTATTTCTATGAGGAAGAGGCCATGGGCATGGTTATAGGTGGAGGTGACGGGTGTGTGGAGTGACAGCAGCAAGCCTGCACCCCCAGACTTGATCTTAGTCCAGGACCCGCTGGGAAAGGCAGTCTTGAGTTCCAGTTACACAGAGCAGAACGATGCAGGTCTGTCCAACAGTTAGGCAGTTTGAAGTCTTCGTGTTCCCAGTAGTCTAGATTTGCAGTTAAGGACTTGGTTTTGATTGAAAAGTCTTCTGTAGCATTTACCCAGATTCTCTTAATCCAGCATTCACGAGATGTTGGGAAAGTGATGTCGGTAGAAAACAAGTCTAATCCCTTGGAGGCTCGGGACCCCATCCCAGAGCTCTGTTTGGAAATCCTGGTTTCATGGATTTGCGTTCATTCAACAAATACGGCGGTACTTATTTTACATTATGGTGGACACTGCATGGCTGGACGTGGCTTGGGATCTGCCCTCCTGGAACTCGCCAGAGCAGGGCAGAGGAGGGGCAGCACACAGGTGTCCTACCAGGGAACTTCAGAAATGGAATGAACAGAAACGTTGTATTTTGGTGCAAAAATCTCTTGAATCCACAGCTACTTGTTTCATCACAAGCATTTTCCATCTTCTCTGAAGACGCCTGGTGCTGTGCTGCAGGCTCAGGCCAGCGCTAGGAACAGCCTTGTGTGTGTGTCCCTGGGTCGTCCCTGCTCGCGAGCCTCTCTGGTGAACTTCGGCGAGCGCCTAGGAGTCGAAGGGATTTTTGTTTGTTTTTCCCTGCAACGTGGTGTTTCCTAAGCGTAGTGAGGCCACTCGTGACTCAGTCTTCTGTCTTACATGCGCCCTTCTTCTGGGCTCTTGAACTCTTGCTTCAGGATAGAATGAAAATAATTGTGTGGGAGAAAGGGGAAGGTGTATTATCGCAAGTACGTTCTGGTAGGAGATTTCCACGTTGAAATCCTTGGAGGTGGCTGAATTTTTGTGCTCAGTTTAACCTCTCCATTTGAAGCTTAGATTCATTGTCACTGAGTTCAGAGCCTTGTTGGATCTCGGGGTCCCAGTGAAGGGGTGGTTCTCGGTTCTTCTATCCTCTCCCCTCCCCCATCCCCTTGTGTCTGTAGCTGCTCCCACTGCCTCATGACCAGAATGTAGCCTCTTAGACAAGAACAGCTGACGTTGCTTGAGACTGTTTGCCGTGAGATGAGGATCACCTGGTGTGTAGACAGACTGAAGGAGGCACTCTTAGCTCTATTCGACATGGAAGAACGATGCAGCTCTGAGAAGTTCAGCAGTTAGACAGCATCAGCAGAGCTAATGCACGGGCAGCTGAGATTGAAGCCAGCAGCTTCAGGATAGAATGATCCGTGCTGATCCGAAGGCAGGAGCCAGGTGCTTCTCCTGGTCTCCCATGGGGTGCAGGGCCCAAGGACCTGGGCCATCCTCCACTGCATTCCCTGGCCACAGCAGAGAGCTGGCCTGGAAGAGGGGCAACCGGGACAGAATCAGGCGCCCCGACCGGGACTAGAACCCGGTGTGCCAGCGCTGCAAGGCAGAGGATTAGCCTAGTGAGCCGCAGCACCGGCCACAATCATGATTTGTCGATTAAGAGTATTAACTTAAAAATATATTTCTTATAAAACAACCACTGCACTACACGCCCTTTAACCTCTGCCCCAAAACCTGGTGGCACTGAGTGACCTATCCTGAAAACCAGGCTCCTCCATGATGAATGCGGACACGCCAAGACTATTTCAGCCTCCTTTGCTGATGCTGGGCAGCTCGTACATTTCTCATTGCCACATCATCATGCCAACAGCCCTCTACTTAAAGAAGAGACAGGGAGCACTCCCCTGTTCATTGCAGCATTATCCACAGCAGCCGGTGAATGCATAAGGAAAACGGAGTGTGTGCACAGTGGACTATTAACTCTGCCTTCCAAAGTGGGAAACCCAGATGGAACTCAGGACAGGATGCTAAGTGACACAAGCCAGGCACAGAAAGATAAATACTGCGTTATGTCCTTTAGAAATAGAATATTCAAAAGTTGAACTCAGAGAAGTAGTGAGTAGACGTAACAGTTTCCAGAGGCTGGGAAGGTGGGGAGGGGATAGAGAATTGCTGCTCAGAGGATACCAAGTGTCAGGTGGACAGCAGGAATAGTTTTGCGATCTGTTGTACACGGGATGATGGTAGTCATTAATAATGTGTAATAGCTAAGTGTCACATTATTAGAGATGAGAAGTAAGTAAGTAAGGGGTGGGTATGTTAATATTTGACAGTTATTCTACCTTGTATGCATATATTGAAAGCATACTGCACCACACAACAGCACAATCATGATTTTTTTTTTTTGACAGGCAGAGTGGACAGGGAGGGAGAGAGAGACAGAGAGAAAGGTCTTCCTTTGCCGTTGGTTCACCCTCCAATGACTGCCGCGGCCAGCGCACTGCAGCTGGCGCACGTCGCTGATCCGATGGCAGGAGCCAGGTGCTTCTCCTGGTCTCCCATGGGGTGCAGGGCCCAAGCACTTGGGCATCCTCCACTGCCTTCCTGGGCCACAGCTGAGAGCTGGCCTGGAAGGGGAGCAACCGGGACAGAATCCGGCGCCCCGACCAGGACTAGAACCTGGTGTGCTGGCGCCGCAGGTGGAGGATTAACCTAGTGAGCTGCAGCACTGGCCACAATCATGATTTGTCAATTAAGAGTATTAACTTAAAAATATATTTCTTATAAAACAAAACAGAGGCAATGTGCCGGAGCAGTACGAATGGCGTCAGGTATGGGTTAGAAAGCCGACTTCCGGCCCCCTCACTCCCGCCTCCCCCGCTCCTTCCTTTATCACTGGCCACAAACAAACATCTCCTGCTTACCCACGCTCACCTTTACCTGTGCAGCCAGCCCCATTGAACTTAGCTGCTGTACTTATGACTGTTACGTAACACTTTGCTGGTACCAAGGACCATTCTAAGCAGTTGGTGTCATTAACTCACACACACGCGTCCCGTGAACATGAATTCTTTTTCTCTGAAACAGAGCACAAGCTCCCGTCATACTTTCCTTGAATTTCTCAGGGGGCTTAAAAGATAGTGATTCTCATCAGCATCGGGGGGGAGCAGTGGAGGCTGAGGCCCAGGCCCATTAATAAAGAAATGTACCGGGCTTGTGGCCGACGTTCAACTGCCCTGTGCCACGGGAAGTTCTTTTAATGTTTCCTTAATCCAGCCTTCCGTCAGTGGCAGAGTTTGTAGGTGCAGTCACCCGGCTGAGAGCTGGGCCTTATTTTTCCTTTTTGTGCTCTAAGATAAGCTGCAGATTCCTCATCACCACACACTGCATGTTTCATGAAAAACCCAGTGCATTGCCCTTCTGATCGAGAACAGGCGGCGTTGGCTGTCTTTCCTCCTGCGATCATAGCTGTCCCCACTTCTGTTAACTTGTTGATTCTGAATGTTACGTTCCCGGTTCATAGACAGTCACCTGTAGCCTACATTTTTGGTCACACGGTTGGTGAAACTCGGTTCCATTTTGTAAACAATCTTGTGGATCTCATGTGGTAATGGCCTGGTACTTTTAATTAACTTCAGCAGGTGTCTAAAACAAGCACCGATATATTTCTGAGCAAACGTCATCTTGATTCTTATTTCAAATAGTGAATTATATTACTCATAAGCTACATTTGTAGTGTAGTTTGAATTTTTCATGTTTAAACTTTAATAGCCTGGAACCTAAGAATTTCGGAAATGTGTTCAACACCTTGTAGAGGAGGAGGGCCGGCGCTTTTCGGCTAAGTGGTGAATTCCGGTGAAGATACAGGGCTGTAGTGAGCGCGTGTCTGGG